CATTTAGCTGGGGACCCCAGTCCTAGGAGAAAGCAAGAGATTTCTGGGTGGAGGTCAGCACTGCTTTGTAAGATCGGCCCTCGAGTAGTCAGTTGTCGAGATACGGAAAGGCTAAAATTGCCTCTTGCTGAAGGTAAGCGGCCACTACCACTAGAACTTCTGAGAACACCTTTGGAGCTGAAGAGAGGCTGAAGTGAAGTACTCAGTATTGAAAATGCTCCTGTCCCATGGTAAAACATAGTTATTTCCTGGGTGAATCGCTACATGGAAATAGACGTCCTGTAGGTCGAGGGCCAAAAACCAATCTCCTGCATCTAGAGAAGGAAATACAGCTGCCAGAATCACCTCCGGAACTTCTGAGACTTTGCAAATTTGTTGAGTCATCTTAGATCTTCCTCAGTGTCCTCCAGCGGAGAGGCCCCAATAGAAAAAGGAGGAGAGTCCTGCGGTACTGGGAAGCAACGGTAATCCAGAGATCGGGGTCTCGGTACCAATAGTTATTCGGTATTCATAAGCAGTGAGGACTCCGGCTCGTCTAAAACTGACAATCCCTGGTGCAACAGAATTCCGGTGGGTATCAACGAAGCGGTTGAGTTGGATGGTACCATTAACCTGGAGCACAAAGATGCTGGGGCCGAAGGTGTCTAGCGCTTGAATTTTTCCCAGTACCGACAGTGCCAAGTGAGAAAGCACCGATGGTAAGTCTGATGTAGATGGTGCTGTTTTAGAGAAATGTCTGTCCTGGACCTCGTTGTCCTTCATACATGGTGCCGTGGGCCTGCTGGAGCTGTGCTTCTCCAAAGCAGTCTGGGATCTTCTGGTCCTGCCGGTACCGGAGGAAGAATCCTTCGCCTTCACAGTACGAAACCAAGAAGTTGAGGCCTCCGACAGCACAGACTTAGTGGGAGATCGAGGCCTTTTGGGAGCCATCTCCTGGTGGTGGGAGACTGAGCTCCTCTTCTTCAGAGCTTTCCTGAAGTCTTCGCCCTTTTAGGGGAGACCGGAGCCAAGGTCGAAGGGGCACTGGATCTGTCTGGAGACAGATATACAGGGGGAGTGAGTCTCCTGACTCGGAAGCAGGTCAAAGGGAGCACGCCATCATCAGAAACCTCAGTTTGGTCTCCCGATGTGTCTGTGCTCTAGATTTGAGAGCTAGGCAAAAGTTACACTTTTGACAGATATCAGACTCTCACAAGCAACGGATGCGCTTAGAGTGCCCATCACAGACTAGGAGACGTAGTGTTTGAAGTCTGGTGAGCCAGGCATGCCCAGCCAGGCCAAATAAGCTTCCTGGAAAAAGGAGAGGGGGAAAAAACCCAAACCACTCACTGTATTTAATTCTATACTGACAACTAACGGGAACTAGAAACACGAAACTAAAAGAACAACTGTAGAACATTCAAGGCTCCATCTCAGGCCAAGGCTGTAGAGAAGGAACTGCTGTTCGCCCGTGCAGATCTGTATACCCTTGGTGTGCGGCATGAGGTTGTATAGAGCTTGTGCGCAGGCAGAACCACACTGCTAACAGAAAATCTCTGATCCAGGGCTCGAGAGGCATACGTGTGCCTGAAACGGAGCACCCATCGGGACACTACTCGAAGAGCCTGAATTTTATATCACTTTTCATCTGAAGGAGTTTTATAAGCTATACACTGTGATCATATCCCTGTTCCAGACACCCAGAAATGGGAGATGGAAAACAACCATGTAATTGTGAATTGTATTAGACGAATCTACCAATTATAATTATATTTTAATTATAATTTAATATATAAAAGGAGAGGGGGGAAAAACCCAATAATTATATTTTAATTATAATTTAGCAGATAAACAGCACTAGGTCACTACTCCCATCCTTGAGCAGGGTAAGGGGGGAGGGATAGTTCAGTGGTTTGAGCATTGGCCTGTTAAACCCAGGGTTGAGAGTTCAATCCTTGAGGGGGCCACTTTGGGATCTGGGGAAAAATCAGTACTTGGTCCTGCTAGTGAAGGCAGGGGGCTGGACTCGATGACCTTTCAAGGTCCTTTCCAGTTCTATGAGATAGGTATATCTCCATGCAGCCTATTCATTGAAAAGTAGGGCTGGAAGGGACCTCCAGAGGTCATTTAGTTCAGCCCCCTGCGCTGAGACAGGACCAAGTAAACCTTGACCTTCCCTGAGGGGTATTTGTCCAACCTGTTCTTAGAAACCTCCTGTGAGCTAAGCTCCAGAACAGGCTTTCCAACTTCCCTGGAAAGCCTGTTCTGGAGCTTAGCTCCCCTTAGAGTTGGAAAGTTTTTCCTAACATCTAACCTGAATCTCCCTTGTAGCAGATTAAGCCCATTGCCTCTTGTCCTGCCTTCAGTTCCTCTTTATCGCTCTAAACACATTTGAAACCTGTTACCAGGGCTTTGTCCAGCCTTGTTTTAAAGATGAACTCTAAAGGAGGGGGAAAGAGTGGTTGTGCTCCTTTTGTGTCCTTATGATGCCGTAACAAGAGAAGGGTGTTCTTATTTCCCTTTGTGAAAGGGGTTAGTAGTTCAGGCTGTGTTTACCTGTGGGGTTCCCTGGGTGATGCAGGAGGTCAGCGTGGATGATCACAGTAGTCCCTTCTAGCCTTATCTATGAATCTGCCCTAGAAGATGGTATGGCTGGCTGGAGAACTGGTAGGATTACATCACGTATGCCCTGGCAGGGAAAGCAGATTGAACGGGGGTGTGGGCGTGTGAATATTTCTGTTTAAAACTGAGTGTACTTTGTTGCTTGAGAGAGAAATTTTCCCTGTTAAGGATTCAACACCCTGTTTCTTCAGTTAAGCGCTGGGAGATCTCCTGATCTGCACTTCTGACTCGCCGAACACGTCCTCAGACCAAAAAAAGGGGGGGGGGGTGGGGATGGACATTCCTGATTTTTGTTTGTTAAACTCTCAAGCCTTCATTCTAACTCCTAAATAAAACAGTCACACCCACCCTGCACCCGTATTTCCTGCTGGCCTGTAAAGGTTTCAAGCGCTGTTGCCCGTTTTCCTTGGGAGACCCTCAGTATAGAGTCTTGCCCTCTGCAAGTCCTTCCTAACCTGGAGCTAATTGCTCTCTGCTCCATTAAGTCTCGTTAGAGCGCCTATGCTCACCTGGAACAATTTGTCTACAGTCTCATTCACAGGTTTCTCTTCTGCCTTGTGTCGCAGGGCGAGACATGCTTGCTTCAAGCGAACCTGCAGCCGGTAAACTATGATGGGCAGCCCAGCATACAGGCCATTGGCACGTGGGGCAGGAATTTCATGCCGCACGGAGCTATCCTTTGACAAAGCACCTTTCAGGACTAGTTGGCCTTTGCCCTCCTCCCTTCAGAACGTGAGCCCCCACCAATAAGCATGGGAGGCAGGTGGGTCACTGAGGCTCCGATCTCTTTTATCTGCACTCCATCCCCACCCACTTCAGCTTCAAACGTAACTGGCCGGATTGATTTCTGGCCCCTTGCTACTGAACTATAAGCCTGAAAAGCTCACAAACCAAACCCTGCGACGCCAGCGAAGGCCTGTGCTGGGTTCAAAGAGACACATAGAAGCTTGCTCAGCTGGGTGGGGAAAATCAAGCCCAAGAGGCCCCTGCGTGGTCCATCTCAAGGGGCTCACAGCACCAGAAACAATCTAGGTGCCAAGTGGGAGGCCCCGAATCTGGTGGGTCACAGAGGCAGAGTCTCCGTGCCTTGTGGAGATGGTTTCCTACAGGTCAGGACGGGGGGACACTAACGTGGTAGTAGGAAGGAAGCTTGGTCCACTGCTGCCCTGTGGCATTTAGTCTGTGGTTAAAGCTTCAGTACCAACGTCTTTCAGGAGGGCTGAGGTTTTATCTGCACCGTGGATTTGCCCAGATTCCAGCCCCTGCTGCAGCTGCCCTGCTGCAAACCCCAAGCGTAGCCAGAAGCAGCCATCCGGTGCCCTGGGGTGCTTTAGCACAGTTTCAAGGGTGGCTATAAATGGGGCAAACCCCAGCCTAGATTGGGTCTGAGTTTGTTCATTCAAGTGCTGGCTTGGGACCTGCAAGAACTTCTGGCTCACTGTGGTGTCTGTCTGCACTGTACACTCATCCTCGCGTTCTCAATGTCTTTATTCTTGCTTGTGTCCTAGAAACCTACTGCCCCGATTCCCAGCCTGACGTCTATGTGCAGCGGCTTTCAGGGAGCTGTTTAAAGGGCACCCAGAAGCCCAGTGGAATTGTGGCAGCCATGTCTCTAACTTCATTCCAAAGTGTTCGAGAATTGGGTGTTTCTGGCCGCTGAGTCTAGGAGGCTCAGAATGTCTTCATCAGCCCAGGTGCTCCCGAGCGCTCTCCTGGGCCCAACCAGCAACGTTCGGCATCGCTGCCTCGTTTGGGGCCATTGTTAAATCAAGATGAGTTGCAATCACGGATGGGAGAACTGGTGAGAAATCATGCACTACGGGATCGCAGGGGCCAGGCTTCCAGTTAACGGGATGCCAGGACCGTGGCGTTCAGGAATGCAGACCGCAGCAGCCCCCAGAGGTGTGACCAGGATACTGTGGGTCACGAGGGGATGGGGGGGGAGAGCCAATTTTAAGATGTGAGCAAGTTGGGCTTGTGTGTCTTGCCTACATTAACGCTGTACGGCTGCAAGCTAGCACACAATGAGACCAGTGTTGCAGGATGATCACGCCAAGGCTACCCAAGGTATAAAGATGGCTTTAGGATGTTGGATGCCTGTATGCTCTTTACCTCTCCTTGCTTTAAAACACTGAAGGGCTACGTTTCAAAGGCACAAGGAGCTGTTAGGTGTCCACTCCCACTGACTTTCAGCTGCCTTTTGTGCTTATGACAGTCTCCCTAACTGTACTCTCCCTCACCCCCAGGACTAGCACAGTCACAGGCTTCCCTTAGATTTGCTTATCATTGGTTATGTTGACGTCTGCAATTCTTCTTGTCCCGACGAGCAGTCATTTAACCATCACACGATCGACTCAGACCAGTTGCTAGAGCTAAGTGCAATCACCATATGTGAGGCCTTCAGCATTTGTAACTTTATTGCAGAAAAATCCACTATTAACATATTTTACAAAGAAAGTTGCACTTTGGTGTTTGGCGAGTTCTGTTCCCCGTCCCCCTCCCGCCCCTGGGGGGCAGAGACGCAGGCGTGGCTGGGACAGTCAGTCCTCTCCCTTCAAGCTGTGTGTAGAGCGGCTCGTTCCGGCAACAACAGCTCCACTGACACCCTTGCGCCAGCTTCAGCCAGGAGGAAGTTCCGCTATTTCCATCAGCACTGTCTGTGCATCTGTTGGTGCCAAAAATTGGCAGCACCCTGCCCTCCAGCTGGGGAAACAAGGCTGCAGCATGAGTGAAATTTCTGTGGTTCCGACTTGGGAGTTTGATGCCTGTGAAAACTGCCCTCTAATTTTCACACAACGAGAGGGGGAAAAAAATCTATTACACTCCCTCCTGCAGTTACTTTTGGGGGTGTCTCATCACAGGTAACAGACCCAAGTCTACAGCCAACAGGAAAACCCTAACTACTGCATGATCTCTTCACCAGCTACTCCCAAAGCCACAGAGCAATGCAGGGAGTGGGGAAGTCACCTTCTCCAGCTCGTCTGCCCTGGTTCCAGACGACCAGTTCTCCAGCTGCATGGCCCGAATAATCTCCATTACATCCAAGGATAGGACTTATCTATGCCCTGCTGGTGGGAGACTAGGCCCTCCCGAAAGCTAATGTGGGCATCGCATGGCTGTGAAAACGGTGCAACTTCATGGGGCGGGGGCCTCGCCGGAAGAGATGCTGACTGCCCACAACTCCCCCAGACTTTGCTGGCCTGAGGGAGCGCAAGCACCGGCTGCCAAGACGACAGGCTGAGACCTGAGAAAACCAAGGCTTTTGTATGATACCGACTATCCCAGCATCACTCTCCACAGCGAGACCTCACCAACCGCTGCCCAGGCCCCAGGCACAGCTGAGAGGGACCCCGAGGAGCCTTCAGAAGGCGTAACAAGATAGGAAGTAGAAATAGGCAGGAGCCACTGTATGGGAAGCGAGAAACCCCAGTGTGTGTGTGTTGGAGAATGGGGACAGGTGGTAACACAGAACAGAAAAAACCACACCGCCTCTCTCCAGCTGCACACATGGACGAGACGCATCCTGCCCAGCACGCTAACGTCTGTCCCTAGGGAGCCCGAAGGCAGCGGGCTGCCCCCAGACCCGCTCCGGCTTGTTTGCTTATTATGCAGCCGCAAAGGCTCCCAGGAGCCGCAGGGGCAGAGCGAGCAGCCGCTGGGACTGTTCGAGGGACTTCCGAAGCAGAGAAGCAGCATTTCTTGACCTCCCAACCCAACACCCTGGAGGGACAAGGCACAAAACAATGGCAAAGGCTAGTTCGGGGGTGCGGGGCATAACGTGCCCTTGAGAGCCGCCAAGCAGCCTGGACAAGGCTATGTCGATAGCGAACTAAGGAGCTCGCGGTACTGGGGAGGGAAGTCGTGGCGCAGGGCAGCCGCCAGAGCTCAGAGCAGGTACTAAGTGCAACAAGCGACTCTCTGATACCCGGGAGACGTTCCCTTCCCACGCTGAGGCGACCACGGGGCAGCCTGCCTGCGGGGAACGGTTTAGGCTTGTGCTGCTGCCTCGAGGGAGAGAACCAGGGATTTTGTTTTCTTTTGAGACAGACCGGAGAGTCCCACCCGAGACAAGGCCACGCAAGCCCCAGTTATGTCGGTTCCCTCCCAGCGTGATGAAAAACCTCCCGCTCACCCCCAGCCCTCAGGGGCACATTCTCCTCCCGCAGCCAGGGGGCTGTTTTTCTGGGGGGCAAGGAGGGGATTGCAGTTTACCACAGTCCTGCTAGATTCTCTGGGAATTCAGGAGTGGATCCCACTGCTGAAGTTGAAATAGGAACAACATGTGCAAAAAAACACAAAGCAAGAGGGAGCCAGTCTGCTCCCCGCCCTCGTCTCCCAGTGGGAAGTAACATTCTCCTTTGCTTGCCTTGTGAGGACCGACACTGCATTTCCTGACACAAGGCGCATTTTGAGAGCAGCAGCTTCTGAGACTTCCAAGCGAGTCGGCAAAACATCAGCTCGGCCCTCAGGCTAAAATGCAAGGTGAAAAGCCCCTCTCCCATGTCCTCAGCATTTTGAGGAGGCTTAGGACCCTCGGTGTATGGAGAGCAGAGGGAAGGGCCAGTGCTGGGCTCTGACTGGCTCCAGCTCTCAGAATAAACTTTAAAACCAAACTTTTACAAAAGTTTTTAAAACAAACCAACCCACCCATCTGCAATGAGTGTTTCAGTCAAGTGCAAAATCAGAGCCGCCTTCCCCCCATCCTCAGGGGATCTTCCTGGACCAGATCCTCAGGGGCCTACTGCTCAGGGAACTTCAGCGCTCCCCCAAACCCGGATGGAGGGTCCTCTTGCTGCCTAGTAGGTGTAGAGGGAGAGGGGCGTATCCTCCATCATGTCGTCCTACGAGCAAAGGAGAAAGACACACATTAGTATCTGTCATGGCATGGAGGGGGAACTGGTCTAGATCTGGGGTGCTACTGCATCCGAGGAGAGGGGTCCAGCCAGTGCCAGGCCCACAGCCCCTCCATTCACAGTGTAGCCGCTTTGCCATTGCCAGCCCCTGTGCTCCCCAAGCAGTGCTTCCCTTAGTCCCTGGCAAGGGCTCGCCCTCTCTGGAGGCACTACCTTCCCTTCCTCCTATGGCCTCTGGAAGGGGCCGGAGGAGGCAGGTGTAGGAACATGGCTGGGAGACTCCCCTCCCCCACAGGCCCACTCATGCAGCTGAGATGGCAGAGGAGAGTCTCAGAGAGAGGCCTGGTCCCAGCCTCTCCCTGGAGGTGTCCTGGGACCGGGCTCTCTTTCCCTCATCCCACCCCCTCAAGGCCACCACCAGTCCGGCCAGTGAGGTCCCCCATCAGCAGGATTCATCAAACAGATGGGTGGTCTCTTTGGAAGGACGCGAGGCAAACACCACACCGCTCCCAGCCCAAGCCGCGAGGTCCTAGGATGGTGAATGTATTGTTGTTCCTCTGTGGCGTCACTAGGCAGGACGACCGGTATGAAATGGTTACTTACTGTAACTGTGGTTCCTAGCTGGAGAAATTTGCCTAGCAGTACCCGTAGGGGGCGACGCTCACGCCTTGTGGGCGTAGCCCCTCCCTCCCCTGGCTACCCTCCCTCAGTTCCTTCGCACCGAATGCCAGGACCCGAGAGCCCAATGCAGAGGGGATGGAGGGTGGGTTGTGGAAAACACACCTGCATCACATCTCAAAGAACCACAGTTACTGTAAGTAACCGTTTAGTCGTCTTCGAGTAGATGCGGACGCGTATTCACAAGCAGGACCTCTCCCCACGCCCCCAGGAGGCAGGGCTCGGAGTCTACCTAAGCCTACCAAAGCCTGCCTCCACCCTGGAAGATGCAGTTATGGCATAATGGTTTGTGAACCTACGTATCAACGACCACGTAGCAGCCCTGCCAACGTCAAATATGGAACGTCACTGAGGAAGGCTATGGGCATTGCTTGCACCCGAGTAGAGTGAGCTCACACCTACTGAGGAGGGCAGAGCTGAAGCTATTACATATGCTGTCTTGATGCAGAGTGTTACCCATTCGGAGATCGTCTGTGAAGAGATCACCTGACCCTTCATCTGATCTGCATATAACACAAACAGGCAGACGAAGCATGAAACGGTTTAGTCCAGTCCAGACAGAAGACTAGACATCAACAGTATGGAGACGTGGCTGCTCCGGAGAGGAATGCAGCTTAGGAAAGAACACAGGTACCGCCTGGTTCCAATGAAACTGAGAAGCCACTTTAGACAGAAATTTTGGATGTGGTCGTAAAGTCACGTTGTCTTTGGAGAATTGTGTATAAGGAGGCTCTGCCATCAGAGCCTGCAACGCTCATGCTCGCCTTGTGGAGGTCCTTGCTACTAGGAATGCAGTTTTCTGACACAAAAGTGGAAAGGGACAAGATGCCAGGGGCTCAGATGGAGGTCCCATTAAGGTCGCTAGGACTGAGTTAAAGTCCCACAGAGGAACCGGCTCTCGGACCGGGGGATGTAGACGAAGGAGCAATTTTAAGAATCTTGCTACCATGGCACTGGAGAAGACAGATCTTCCCTGAATGGGGGGATGAAATGCTGATACTGCTGCCAGACGTGCTTTCAATTAACCGAATGCAAGCTGCAGTGACTGAAGGTGCAGCAGGTATTTCAAAATGTCCTGGATAGAGACCAGCCACGGCTGGATTCTGCGGGCTAATGACCACACCAAAAATCGCTTCCATTTCACTGAATAGGCCATCCTGGTGGAGTGTCTTCTACTGTTAAGGAGGACTTGGATAGCGGCCGAATGCTGCTCTTTTCCCCCCCTTCAGCCACTCAGCAGCCACATTGTGAGATCCAGGGAGCTGAGCACAGGATGTGAGGTGTGGCCTTGGTTCTGAGTAAGTTGGGATGGGGAGGCAGCGGTATGGGAGGCTGAATAGACAGTGCGAGAAGGTCAGAGAACCAGCACAGTCTAGGCCAGGGCAACGAGAATGAGTTAGGTCATCCTCAAGTTCAAGGCGAATCAGGCCAGAGGGACGATCAGGATCGTGGGAAAGGCATACAGGACAGCCCGCTGCCAACTAGATAGAAAGAGTCAGACCCGAGGTCCCCCCGCAGAGCAGAACTGATGACATTTCCTGTTGTCTCTTGTAGCGAACAGCTTGATTGTCAGGATGCCCCAAGCTGTGAAGATGACCCGGAGAGCACTCGTCTTCGAGGACCACTTGTGACTCAGGGAAAAATACCCGCTGAGACAGTCCGCGCGATGATTCTGAACCCTGGGCAAGTGAACGGCTATCGGATCGTTCTCCTTAGCGCTGATCACCTCTAGGCAAAACAACCTGGAGTTTGCTCCCCCTTCTTTGTTCCCATAATACATCACAGTGGGAACTGTGTGAATCTCTTGATAGGCATAGCATGCATTGTAGATGGCCCGAAACTCCAGCACATTGATATCGAGTGAGGCCTCCCGCTCCAACCACAGCCCCGGTACTGTCAGCGCTCCCAGGTGCACCAACCCAACCCATCAGGGACGCGTCGCTAACAACCAACCTGGTTGGCAAGGGCCAGACAAAGGAAACGCTTTGGCAAATGTTCTCTGGACACATCCACCACTGCAAGGAGTCCAGGACCAGTGGATGAAGACAAACTAAACCATCTAGAGGGTGAAGAGTAAGACAGTAGACCATCCTGAGCCGCATTTGAAGGGGGCAAAAGCGCAACCTTGCAAACTGGACCACGTGCATGCAAGCAGGCATGGGGCCCTGGAGCCTCAGACACATCTGAACTATTGTGGGAGGCTGAGACTGCAGATTAAGGCAAAGATGGCGAATTGCCTGAAAATGGTCAGTTGGAAGAAACGTTGGACATCGTGGAATCTAACGGGGCCCCAGTGACCTCTCTTTTCTGAGTGGGAGCCAAGGTTGACTTTCCAGTGTTTAGAATGAGACCCAGATGATGGAGCAAGTGCACTGTGATGCCGATGTGAACAAGAACTTCCCCTTCATAACCAGCCGTCCAGATATGGGAAGATGTGAATTCCCTTCTTCCTGAGAGATGCTCTAACAACCACCATGCATTTGATAAAAACCGGGGGGGACGGAAGAGAGGCCAAATGGAAGCACTGTGCACTAAACGTCGTGTTTTGCCACAACAAACTGAAGGAACTTTCTGTGGCTTGGCAAAATTGCCACATTTAAGTAGGTATCTTGAAGATCAAGAGCCGCAAACCAGTCGTTCTGAGACCATGCCGGGAGAGGAGTCAATAGGGACCATTCGGTACCTCATGGACCTGATATTTGTTGAGGCTGTGAAGGTCGAGGACAGGTCTTACTCCTCTCATGGATTTGGGTACCAGGAAATACTGGGAGTAGAAGCCATGACCCTGGTGTTCCAGCAGAACCTCCTCCACTGCTCCCAAAGCCAGCAGAAAATGGACCTGCTCGAAGAGCACTATCTCATGAGGCGGGTCCCTGAAGAGGGATGGGGAGGAACTGGATAGCATAACCCGACATGACGGTGCTTAGGACCCAGCTATCGGTAGGAATCGAGCCCCAAGCATTTGTGAAAGTGGCCCATCCTGTCCCCAAAGTGGGGAGAGGAGGAGGGAGGAGCAACCACTGGAAGTTCCAGCGTTCCAGAGAGGGCATGTGGACTGGCCGAACCCGACTGCTTCCTCCTGTGGGCACTATGCTCCTTTCTGGGTAGCCCCAGTGCCTCGGAGAAGTGAAAGTCTGCTGCTGCTGTTGCACGTCTCTGCATGGTCGGCCCCCAAAGACTGCAGGGGAGTCCTGGAGTCCCTGAAGGAGCGCAGCATCTTGTCAGTTTTGTCCAAGAACAGTGTTTGGCTGTCAAAGGCCAAATCCTCAATGGATTACTGGACATTGGGGCAATGCCCAAATTCTGCTTAGCCACAGGCAGTACCGAAGCTGGCATGCTTAGCCGATTCAAGGAGGGGATCACTGATAGGGAGGGTGACTCTCCCAGGGGCAGACGGCTGCAGGATGTCCACCAATTCGTGGGTGTTCTCTTGCAAGAACTCCACTTGGATACTGCGGGAAGCAGCTACATGCCACAAAAGGTCTTGGCACACCTTAAAATCCTCTGGTATCGAAGGCAAGGATGAGCGAGGCAGCACAGCATCGTCTGGACACGGAGACGAGGCCCACAACTGAACCAAAGCTGGATCCTGTTAAAGGGCTGACGGACCCGGATGGGACGACTACGGAGGCTACACCAGTGCTTGGGCCTGCAGCGGATCAACAGTCACCACTGCAGACCTGGCCAGTGATTTCGCCTTCAAGCAAGATAGAGTGGGACCTCCGCAAAGGAGGAGAGTCCCACAGATTCCATGGAGGCCACTGGCACGGATAAGGCATTGGTAGCCGGCAGACACTGAGCCAGAGAAGAACGCCAATCCTGGTACCCATAATGGTCTGTCAGCGGTCCCCCATGCTGGTCAGGGGATGGAGCGCAGGAGGATGACAGCTCTGACTCAGAGGTTGGGGAGCCTCGGGATCCCGGGGATAAGCGTGGAGTGAGACCAGAAGAAGTGAGTAACCGACTCGTCCATTGCCCAGAACGAGACAGGAAGCGGTGTTGCCCATGGAAGCGGTACGGTCGGCACCGAGCATGCCAGTGCCGGAAGCAGTGTCAATCCCAAAGTCAGCAGCAGCAGCACGGGAGTGTTTGATGGTACCAACGTCGAGGGCGGTGAAAGGCGCCATGGAAGCATTTGCTGGGCCGACTGCGGTGGTGCCGAGCAGAATCCCACTCCCGAGGTCCCCTATACCGATTCTGGTACTGGCTCTGCACGCTGGGGTGCAGTGCAGACAGACCTGAGGGTTCAGTGGCTCGTTCAGTCGACCGACCGGACTATAGACGACACAGTCCTGGACCAAAGAAGAGATCAGGACCAAAAGGCAAAGGAGGTCTGTAGCTGCCTGGTATGCTGCTGACCCGGAAACAGTCGGTACTGGCATCTTCCTCATTGGTGATGGACTCAGACACCCGGGGGCCAGAACGGGAGTCAACGGTACAGGGTTTCTAAGCTCCCTACTCAGAAGGGTTAGCGGAACTTGCGCCATCCCACAGGCCGGTACCTACTCCGTGCCAGCCCACGCTTTTCCTGGGGGAGACAGAAGAGTCACCTCGAGATCTGGAGCAGTCCGGAGTGGTATTATGCAACCTTTTCCTTGGCAGAGGCGACGGGGAAGGGCTCCTCCGCTTCTTCGGGGAGGTAACTGCTCGGGAACGTGAAACGGCAGCGCTCTGAGTCCACGGGCGATCTCCAACCCAACGCGTGCCTCGGGACCGAAGCAGGCACTGCGTCAGGCGAAGGTCCCGAGCCACTTGAGCCTGTCCCCTGAACGACGTGCAGATCGCAATACGCTCTTTAATGTGGGCCTCGCCAAGGCAGAGCAAGCACCGTGTGTGGGGATCGCTCCCCCACGCGAAGGACAACATTTAAACCCTGGTGAGGGCATCCTCGAGGAAAACAAACAAATACAACTAACACAAAGGGTACTATCTATCTAGCTATCGGAGGGAAAAACTAAACTCGCTGAGATATTGGGAGGTTAAGACCCTTAAGCTCTGACTCCAGCCGAGGGGTGATGAGAAGGAACTGAGGGTGGGTCAGGGCAGCGCTGCTTCATGTAGCCAGGGGAGGGGCTGTGGCCATGAGGCATGCACACTGCCCCCTATGGGTACTCCTAGGCCAATTTCTCTGGCTCCAGTGTGCTGGGCGCGCACACACCTCACTGGAATACATGGCTGCATCTACTCGAAGAAGAACTTTGTCTTTCAAAGGCTACATAGAGTGATCGCTTCACCCACCATGGAAATGCAACCTCCTCTGGGGGGGGGACATAGCAGCTGTTTAACAGCCACCCAGGAACACTGCATAACACATCAGGGCAGGAGTGAGGAAGAATACTGACTCTGGATGTCAGGCTGCCTTCACACTGTGTCTCTGTCTGTCTTCTGGATCAGGGCTGGCAAGGTGGATCCTGTCGCTAAATCTCTCGTCACCTGACATCCTGGCAATGAACCTTGGAGGAGGCTCCCCAGACCCCCCCCTCCCAAGCCCCGCTCCCCTCCCAGTCACTGGCATGAGGAATGAGCCGAATTCCCTCTGCGCAGCTTGTCGCCGTCGCTGCTAGCACGGCTAAAGGGGAGCTGCAGCGTGGCCTGGCCACACAGCTGGGAGCCAGCCAGGAGCTCAGGGCACAAGGGCCCTGGGCAGGGCGGGGGCGTTGCTCACCATGGGCAGGTCCTGCAGGCGCCGGAACTCCATCCGGCTGTGGCGCTGCCGGTATCTCAGGAAGCCCACCAGGGCCAGGATCCCCACCATGATGACGAACATGGAGATGACACCGATCACCAGGGGGTCGGCCCCCATCGCGCCGGCAACAGCGGAGCTGGGCAGGTCTGCAGGGAGGAGGAGACGGTACCGAGAGGGTAAGGTCCCGGGGCTGGAGCAGCCAATCCCAGTCTCCCCCTGGGCTCTGCCCTACAGCCCCACAAGGGCTCCCCCAGCTCAAACCCACAGGTCAAATGCCTCTCCCATGCCCCTGCACTTGCTGCGCTCTCAATAACCAGTTAGGGAGAGCAGAGATCGGAGCACTGGGGCCTCGAGAGCATTTACCTTGACCATCGTCGTCTCCCACATCCAACACAGAAGCCTTCTCATGCACGGGATCGGCTGATGACTGCCCTACGGCTGTTGTGGCTGCCCTGTTGGGGGAGGAAGCTCTGGGGGTTACCGTGGTGGTGCTGGGGGTGGTAGTTGCAGGTGTGCTCCCTGTTGTCATGGCAGCAGGGACGGTAGTGGGCCCTGCAGTGCTCTCCTCTGTGGCATTCTCCTGGGCTGTTTGTGGGGGGGGTTCAGGGTTCCCTGCAGTGGGTTCAGGGTTCCCTGTCGTGGGCCCCAAGGTGCTGGATGCAGAAGGCTCCAGCTGGGAGCTGCCCGTTGTTGCTGCACAGAAGAAAAAGAGGCAGTTATCTACAAGGTGAAATCCTGAGTCTGCCCGTCCCCACCCTGCATGGCCTGGAATGGGTGGCAGGCGGCGCTGCTGGCACCTAGGGGACATGCCCAGCTCCTGGCATGAGCCCAGAGCGCGCTCTGCTCCAGGTTCCCCCTGGGATCCTCAGGGAGGCAGTGGAGAGGCCCTGAGCCCCCTGCTGTTCTGTGTCGAGCTGTTCAGAAGGCCACCAACTGGAGCCCTGGCTCTGTGCCGGAGAACAGAGCAGGGTGGGACGTGGGCAAGGCTTGGGAGGGCATCTCAAGCCTTTCAGGCTAGCAGGCCGATTCCCCCATCGAAGAAGAAGATTCTTTAGCACCACTGAACATTTACTTCTTCTGGAGGTTGAGAGAAAGTCTGAAAAGGCCATTCACCCTGTCTTGTCCTCCCCCCGACCTCTCCGTGGCTATGTCCCATCACCTCCAGGTGGCCACCAAATGATGCTCATCTCCTAGCAGAGGAATCCCCACGACAACGCCCCAGAAGGAACAGCAGGGACCCCCGGCAGCCTGCGGACATGCCTGACAGCTATGGCACTGAAAAGGGCGACAGGACTGTTGGTCAGGAATAAACTACACGAGCCAGGACAGCCGGGGCGTTGCCCTCAGGGGAGCCTGCCTACCACTCTCTGTGACAAATGCCATACAGATTAATCACCAAGTCAGTAAGTAGTTCACAACCTGTCAGAGCCAGAGAGCCCCCTTCAGAGCCCGGGCGTGTTGAGGGGAACAGGTCTCTGAGCTGAGAACCCCTCTCTAATCAGCAGCAATGCCCAGAAAACCAAGTCAGTGAGAGTCCCCATGCCATCCAATGGGATTTTAGGGCAGTGTGGCAGACCAAGTCACCCTTGGCCACCCTGCCCTTTAACACGAGGCCTAGAATCGACAGCAACAGCCTCTCTGGAAACGTCGTCAGGCCAGAGAAGAGAGATTACGCTGGCAGCTGTGACCTGCTGCCATTAAGGATCCCAGCATGCAACGCGCCCTGCTCAGAGCTACCTAGCCGCACTGCATGCTGGGATTTTCCTCACAGTTTCTGGTTAATGATGGGGGGCGGGGGTAGCTTCTATCTATCCCATGCTACAGAAGTTAGGGGTTGCTCGTGCAAGCTGCCAGACCCAGATACCAGCTGGGCAATCCTGCTTTAAAGCCAGCCGGGCCAGGTACTGCTCTCACTTATACTGGTGTGACCTCACCGCGGTCACGAGAGCTGCTCTGGATCGACGCGGGTATAAAGGAGAGCAGCATTCGGCCCCTGGGTGAGTGTGCGTGTACCTAGGAAGGAAAGGGTTAATTTGTTGTACTTTTGAGGAAAGATGTAAGGGCCTTTAGCAGCAACGGTTTATAACTCTCCCCCTCCCAGGACAGCTGGCTGATGTGGTAAAAGCCAGGGAGCAGCTTCCCTATCTGCATATGAAAGAGGAACCAGCAGATGCCGCAAACCTTTCCCACTTGCCCTAGCCTCAGGATCCCCCTTTCACGTACCAAGGGCCCAATCCTGTGAGGTGCTGAGTGCCCCCGACTCCAGGCAAAGTCAATGAGAGCAGAAAGGCACTCAGCACCGCACGGGGCCAGGCCCTAAGTCCCCAGGCTGGGTGTGCTGTGGGAGAAGGTGCCCCCTACGCACGGGTGAGCGGCGGGGTAGCGAGAAGCCTCACCCAGCGCGTCCTTTGGTGGCTGATGCGTTGGAGTCCCAGTCGCGGCGCCAGTCGGCCCCGTGGGGCTGGAGGGCTCTGTTCCATTTTGGCCAGGCTGGTTTGCATCTGTGGTGTTGGCAGCCAGAGCCGGAGGGGGGAGCTCCGAGCTGCTGTTGGCCGACAGGTTCTTATTCCGAAGCCCCGTCGTAGCATCCGCTGAGACGGCTGGGGCAGGAGTCTGCAGCCTGGCGCCCGTGGTGGTGGTTGCGTTGGGATCGGGTGGGATGGACTCATCCAGCTCGACAGCGCGGGGGCTGCTAAAACTGGGGTGCATGGCCGCCCCGTCCTTATCGGCGCGAGTCACAGGTGGGGCGGTCGCCTCCGGGCTGAAGTCTCCAGCCTCACTGAGTGGAAGTGAGCCTGGCCCGGGGCTGGGCTGAGCTGGTGACACCGCCTGGTCAGTCAGGGTCTCCTGCCCATCTCCTAGTGCAGGAAAGAAAGAAAGAAACGCTGAAAGGGGCCATGTCCATGCCACACAAGATAGGGGACCCAGGGTGTAGGCGGGCTAGGGAGGGAGGGCAGGAGCCAATCCCCAGCTGGCCTATGCTGCATACAGCATCGCACAAACAATAGGGACCAGAGAAGGGGTCCGGGCAGCAAGCCTGCCTCTGGAGCAGCAGGCGCTGGTCTCTACCGAAGGCAGGATGCCTGATCAGATGGAGCCACATCAGCTCCACCGTCAAACCTCCCGCTCCTATCGCACTGTGCAGGATGGACGTGACTCTGGAACCTCTCCACACTCACCTCAATACTGAGAGTTCAGTAAGAAGTGTGTGTCTGAAGGCCAAAGAGCCACAATTCCACAGTCAACAAAGAGGATGACCGCAAAAAAAAAGCCCACCCTGGTTCAATCGGGAAGTGAAGGTGCCATTTTAAAATAAATTAAAAAAAAAACCATAAAAGGACAAAAAGGGGAAGTAGATAGCAATCATTATAAATCAGAGGTTATGAAGGGTAAAATATTGATAAGGGAAGCTAAGGACACGAGGGTGAAAAATTAAAAAGGTGTCTAAATATATCAGAAACAAAAGGAATCTTAACAATGATAGAGGCTCATTACTAGATGGAGATGGTAAAATCGTTAATGATGCAGAAAAGACAGAAATGTTCCATAAATATTTCTGTTCTGTATCCGTAAAGAAGGAGAATGATGTAATCATATGAGGATGATTAACTACTTTCCAGACCCTTGGTAACGGGGGAGGATGTTAGACAGCATCTACGAGAAATAGACAGTTTAAAATCAGCAGGCCCAGATACCTTGCATCCAAGATTTCCAAAAGAGTTGGCAGACTTCTGGCCCACTAATGTTAAATTTTAAGAAATCTTGGAATAGCAGGGAAATTTCAGGCTTGGAAGAATGCTAATATTGGGCCAATATTGTATTCAAAAAGGGCAAGCAGGATGAACCTGTTTACTGTACGTTGGTTAGCCTGACATCTATCCTGGGCAAAATAATGGAAAAGTTGATGCAGGATTCAATAAATAACTAATGGGAATATAATTAATGCCATTCAACATGGTTTTATGGAAAACAGGTCTTGTCAAAACAAATCTGATTTCACTTTGATGAGATTATACATTTGGTTGATAAAGACAACCGTGTAGATGTAATAAATATGTTTTGTACTGCACTTAATTCAGTATCCTGTCACTCTGATTAAAATATTAGCACTATGCAATATCAAAACGCATGTTAAATGGACTGAGAGCTGACTGCCAGATCTTAAAAAGCAGCTGTCACTGGGGAACCCTCATTGAATGGGGGTGTTTATAGGGGGGTTCTGCAGGGTACTAGGCCTGATGCTATTAATATTTTCATCAATGATTTGGAAGTAAATATAAAATCACTGTTGATAAAATATGCAGATGGCACAAAGACTGGCGAATGGCCAATAAGGAGGAGGACAGGGCAGTCATACAGAGGAATCTGGATGACTCAGTAAGCTAGTCTGTGAAAACAAAATGGGTTTTAATACAGCCAAATGCAAAGTTGTACATCTAGCAACAAGGAATGCACCCCATACCTACAAAATGGGGGACAACATCCTGGACAGCAGTAACTCTGAAAATACTGAAAGTACTTACTCATGCTTTTAACTTTAAGCACATATATAATGCCTAGGGTGACCAGATGTCCCGATTTTATAGGGACAGTCCCGATATATGGGGCGTTTTCTTATATAGGCTCCTATTACCCCCCACCCCCATCCTGATTTGTCACCCTTTCTATCTGGTCACCCTAATAATACCACTGATGCCAACTGCACGTACGTATTTGCAGTATTGCGGCCACAGCGGGGAGCCCAAGTGGTGCACGACACACAGCGAGAGGCCAGACGGTGTCAGTTACACTCACATAGGTCTTGCCCTGATTCCAGCCATCAGCGGCCTGGCACCAGTACAAACCCCTAGCGTAGGTAAAGCTCGCTGCAATTTGCATCAGTCCAGCTTCGGCTGGTTTCAAGAGCTTAGAAACCCCCCCCCCCCATCGTGTCTCCCTTACAAATCTGGCTCCCAAGGAACACTCTGGAGAAACGCTGCCAGCATCGTGTTGGGATCTCTTGACAGAGCTGAGAGAGGCCGGTGACGCAGCAAGGAGATTGCGTGTTAAGAAGGCATGAAAGAGAGAGAGAGAGAGAGTGTGTGTGTGTCCAACAAAAGGCACCAAGCTGAGGCCTTAGAAGGGAGAGGCTGATGGAGCTAAATTTATACAGGCTAAAGGAAATGGTATTTATGGGATTGTGAAAGCCCTATAAATATCTGAAGGGAAATATACAGCAGAGGACTAAGATCTAGTAATAACAGGGTTGAAAAATACACCGGCATAAGTAGGGGCTTAGGGACTGGCAGATGGACCCGCTAAGCTCACGCTGTGTGACGGTCTAAGACAGTGGGTCCGAAGTGTTGTGTGCCTACCGCTCCCCTGCCCTACTCACAAGCACTGGGTAAGAGGCCAGACGCTCCTGAGGCTATGCTAGGCAGCTCTCAGCCATCTAGCCTGGGAATACATAGATCCTCCCATCATACACACCCACCCACTTCTCCACACCCACCCACACTCACACTCGGAGACTGCACTGTAAACAGGCAGTACTTGTATGGGGGCAGGAGGAGGGGGTGTAAGAGGGGCTGGGGGGCCAGCACTGCCCCAGGCTCACAATGCCCATTCCCCATTCGGAAGCTGCTCCGAGCTGCGTGCAGACGCTCACCTAGCTGGAGAAGGGGGAGCCGAGGGGGGAGGATCGGCTTTGCCTTTCCAAGGACAGGGCAGGCTCCCAGCTGGAGGCCAGAAGAACAAAGTGCCCCTAGAGTCCAAGCTTCAGAGAACCAGCCTGGACCAAACCAGGGTGCGGGGTTAACCCACGACCTCCCGCCTCTCAGGTGCTGGCTGCGCAACTGCCCAGCCCTCATTGCCGCTGCTGGGCAGACTAGCCCTGCCTCACACGGGAAGGCGCGAAGCCGCGTGCTGAGGAAGCGCTGAGCTCCCGGGCCCGGGGGCTGAGTTCCCCAGTGCTGGGCTGGGGTGCGCTGGTTCCGGGGAGAGGCGGAGGCTCTCAGAGCGGACGGGTGGAGGGAGTCAGGGCATGGTGCGGAGCCACGTGAGGCTGCCTGAGGCCCTCTCGGCGTAGGGAAAGGGACGGCCTGACTCTCGCGCTTTCCATGGCAAAGCATGCTGGGAAAGGGGAGGAGGTGGGGGCCCTTGAAATACCAGCTCCTCTCCCTTCTTTTCAGCCCGCTGTCGGGAAGTTGGCCCCGGAGGCTGACTGAGCTCCTGGGAGTCAGCGGGTGTTGGGGGTGCAGGTAGGGGCTTGTCTAGGCTAACAGCCTTCGGGTTTTAGCCGCTGCTGGGGTGTGGGAGCTCTTGGCGATTTATATTGCTTGGGGGAGCTGGTCTCTGCTGGCTCATGGTGCAACAGACCCCTGGGTACAGGAAACCCCTTCATCTGTCCCTGTGTACCCCCTGCCCACTCCCACGGCGGGCAGGGCCCTCCTGTCACTGCTGGGGGTTGTGCTGTACCCAGGAGGCAGGGCCTACAGAGTCTGTCTGCCTGGCGAGAGCCACCTGGCTGTGCTGAGGGAGCAGATGGCACACACCCACATCCTCCCTCCCCCGCCGGAGGGGTTCTCGCCTCCCTCCTGCAGGGGTGAGGGGGCATATGGAACTAGCGGGGGGGTCTGGGTGAGATGGGCTGGGCTTTGTCTCTTCTTGCTGCCCCAGCAAGACCACTGAGGTGTGTGGCCCGCAGGGATCTTAGTGCAACCGTCTTTGAGGGGCTCCTTGGAGCTGTGGTTTAGAGGGCATGGTACAGGGAAGCAGCACGTAAGGGGGCACTTGAAGGTATTAAAAGAAGCTGTGTGTAGCGGGAGCCGCTGATCTGTTCAGCTGTCCCTGTGGTGCACACCGAGGCTACTCGGAACGTCACATGAGCAGCTAGAGCAGAACTCCGAGCTGTCTGCTCCAAGAAGCCGACCCCCGGGGCCCGGAGCTACAGGAGAGGCTTTGCACCACCGACAGCAAAACACTCCATCCTGCTCCTAACCAGTACATGGTTACAGCCAGCTCATAGCTGGCTGAGCAACGCGCGGCCTTTACCCTTTAACGGGATGCTGTGGCCATTAAGGCCAGAGGAGGTAGTTTATTGGAAGAGAGGAAGATGGTCCTGGGGGCAGTTGGCATCTGGGAGAAGGAAGGTACAGGGCTATCCCAGACCACTGTTCCCGTAAGGGCAAGGCTCCCCTCTCTCCCAGCCAGCACAAACAGGGGTGGGGTTATTAAACCCACCTAGAGAGCATCAAGAGCCTGACTAGCTGACTGAGTGGGTGACTCAAAAAAGGAGTCTCCAAGCTAAGCCAGGGAAGAAGCTCCTGAGACCACGAGGAAGAACTCGGCTAGCACCTGAGGGGAGAGTCTACAGGACAGGAAGGGCCAGGACCGGAACTGCACAGACCCAAGAAGGAGGGCTGTGAAACCTTGAATCTACAGGTATGTCTACACTGCAGTGTAAGCCCAGGGCTAGCAATAACTTGAGGCAGCAGACCCTGAGTTTGTTAACCTAGGGCTCTAGCATCTACACTGCATTATGTGGGCCAAGTCCCACGTCCCAGACTTCCTAGCACCCTTCCAAGATGTGGCCACTCTAGCCCTTTGTTCGTGGTGCAGTAAGTGAAAACTTGACTGTCCACCAAATCTGACTATCCAGAGGACAAAGAAAAATCAGCCTGTGGGATACTCTTGGCAGACTCCCAGAACGTGAGTCCACTGGGGCTGCATCTACACTGCAAAGCAATAGGGCTTGAGCCCTGGGTCCCAGCTTGACTCAGGCTCAGACCCTCCACCCCCATGGGGTCCTGGGACCCTGTATCCGAGCCCTGGGTTAGAGTGATTTGTGTGTAGACAGAAGGGGGGTTAGGCTTGAGCCTGA